GTTTTTGTATAATTAATAAATTGGTGGTGCTAGTGGTATGTTGTGCTTGCTAAGTGAAAACTTTGTCATGTAAAACAGTCAACAGTATATTTTAACACTGCATCTCTTTCATAGTCTACTAGAAATGAACCCATTTTAACCTCATCTCTTTTGTAGTCTACAGGAAATGAACTGTGGCTCTTTCTGACCCAAACACCTTGTTATATTATTCACTTGTCCTTTTTGCATGTAATTTGACTAGCATTCCGGATTAACTTCATCCCTAGGATACAGAGGTGATGTGTGGGTGTTTATTGTTGTTTATTGTCTCTCCTTCCTGCCCCTGAGTCATTATTGGCATTATCTTTAAGTCTTTAAACTGGCATTCCAGAGCAACAGCATGATAATGAATTATAAGTTGAAAGGGAACCTTACCTGAAGGGAGGGGTGAATCCAATTTTTATTTCTCCAAAGAACCATTCCTCATTATGTGGTGGGCCATAGCAGTAGTAGTGCTTTTGTTCTCCAGAGGCACTCCTATAAGTTGCTTGTTTGTTTGTTGCTTTGTTGGCAGGATCTTTGCAAAACACTTCTGAGAGTTCTTCACATATCACCTTGTTCACGGCAAACACCTGTCACTGTAAATATGCATTGTTCCTGTTTGTTAAAACTTGCACGTGTGCAGCTTTTCTTATCTTCTAACCTGTGGCTACCATATAAGTGTCAATGAGGTATGGATAAACTAGAACTTCTTTCATTTATTCAAACAGACTACTTTGATAAGCTTCACAGGTGGCCCATTTATTGACCAGATTGCTCAGCATTTGAATAGACTTTTGTAAAGTGAGGCTCTGAATTTTTACTCTGCTTTTTTCCAAAAGGTCACTGACATCTTGTCACTGACATGGTATAGTGAGGATTAAGTTTTAGTTGTGTTTAAGCTTTAGTTTTTGAGCAGTGTCTACATATTCTGCTTTGTGCTGTGGTTAGAGCCTGTTTTTTGTGGAGTGTGAACATCAGAATGCGCCAAAGGCTATGCTCAGGACTGAAGGTCCATCAAAGCTGGTGTCCTGTTTCCAAGAGTAGATGCCTAAGAAAGAATATGAATAAGATAAGGGGATTCTTCCCTGATATCTAGTTCTAGGAAATTTGAGGCTAATGACTTTTAGAGGTTTTGCACTTGTATTTAGTAGACTTTCTTCTGTTTAATCTGTCCAGTCATTTAGATCTCAAGCAAACTTTTAATACCTGCTTGCTGCTGATGAAAATGAATTACAATTACCGTCTTGCTAGGGAAGCCAGAGTAGCAAATGTTGTCATACCTACTATGTTGTTATCGGCTTTTTCTATCTGAACAAAAGTGAGTGGTGTAGAAGTGTGGCTTTGAATTGGAAAGTTTGCATTTAAATGGACGTAAGTTGGCTTGGGTGTTAATGCATCACTGAGATAAATGATACGGAGGAGAGTTTATTTCTTCAGTGCCGCGATGTTGGTGGGAAAGTGTGCCCTGTAATTGATTAACAGCGCACTGTACACTGACTTATATAGGGAAAGCCATTATATTTCAGTAACAAGAAGGTATATATGATTCTGGCTTTAGTAAGTAAAAAAATGAATTCTGCAGGAAATAGCTAAATCCGCTGAAAGAACCAAAGGTTCCCAAGGACTCTTTTTTATTATTATTTTTATTTTCTTTTATATCTGTACTATAAGAGCATTTCATGTTATGAAAAAAGTTTAAGTAGTTCAATACATTTAGCAGAACTTCTACATGGGGTTAGAAGTACTAGCGGCCCTTTATTATTTTTTTTTTCTGTTTAGCCTGCAGCCATGAGTTACTGATGACATTTAATACTTTTAAAAATATGTCTATTTATTTTAAATATAATCATTTCTTAATTCTATTATTGTGGGGTTTTTAGTAAAATAAAAATCTGCTCTCACATTTAGGCTTAAACATGTATGAAAGTTGGCATAAATGCAAGAAAGTGAAATACTAGTTGGCCTCCTGTGGCAGGCATAAAAAATGAGTGTGACCCTGAATAACAATGAGGGAAAACTTAAAATGGATACTTTCCTTTTTCCCAGTTATTGGCCCTTTCAAGAAAGCTGGAAAAGTGAAGGCCCAATTACAGTTCTCATAAAACACCTACACATCAGATTTAACATGTTTGTAAAGGGTTCTAAAATTGTGAACACACCAGCAGTTAGAATGATAATCCCTACAGGCAGTTATTTATTTTAGTTTTGACTGTATTGAATTTGCCCGGCATATTCCTTTGCAACCAAGAGGATGGATGACTGGAAGCAAGTGATAGGCCATGGAGTAGAAGCAATGATGTTTTAGAAACTAGTTCTGTTTCTAAACAAGTTTTTACATACTTGTTTTCATTTGGATTCATCACAAGTAGCAATAAATACTATGTCAAAGTAGGAGGAGAAGATAAAGACTTCCTCAATAGCTACTGCAGTCTGTGAAAGAAGTTATGAATTTTTACTATTTGGAGATGCTCTTTTTCAGTTGTGGGTTATTTCCAAACACATTGTCTAAAATCCACCATTATTTTTTCTCCTACAGATCACAGTATGAAATTAGACTGGTACTTGATCCCTTTTTTGAGCTTTTCTGTTTTATTAGGATAGTTTTTTTGCTTTACAAGCATTGTTAAAATATTGTGGCCAGCAACATCCCATTATGCTCAATGATCTATCAAATTGCAACAGTAGTGAACTTGTGCCACTTAGACCTGCCTATTCCTGATATTTTTCTGCAAAGATGCAAGATTTTCTTTTTCCAATCTTAAAAAAAAAAAAAAAAAAAAAAAAAACAAACTAAAAAAAAAAAAAAAAAAAAAAAAAGGTAGGGGGAAGGGAGTGAAAGAAGTACTGTGGTCATCCAGAAAATGTGGGATTGTGTAGGAGAAAACAATCATAAACTTAAGGATTTGGTTTAAAAACTGGAAATCTATCTTGAATATAATTTTATTCTAACATATTTGGAAATGCAAGGAAAGCAGGCTCAGATGATATATAACAAAAAGCTTTTGGAAGTGTGTTCAGATGGGTTACTAGAGCATCGCTACCCCTGTGTGAAGAGGAATAGGCCCTGTGTTGGGTAAAGCAGACTTACTGACTCCTAAGGGGGAATGTAGGATCCTGACAACTCTTTCTTCACACTTACCCTCTATGTGCATGTGTATTTTAAGGTTTGTGTGTATGCATATAGATGTATACATGCAAATATGAGCATGCATTAAATATGTTGCTGTGTTACAAAAAATAGATATACGTATTTTTTTTTCTTTCATATGGCTATATTTTCTAATGAAACTAGCTCCTTAATTTCTTTTTTCTTAAAAACCTATTTTACCAGAGTTCATGTGGAAGTGTTTGGAGGAAAAAGTAAAACAGCAAACGAAAAAGATTTTTCAGCTTAAGCTTTTCAGTATTACTGAGGACATGTTTTTTCTTGGAAGTGACTATTGTGTTAGACAAGCATAGGCAAATTCTATCAAGAAGCTTTGCTCTGAGTACTTAGAGTGCTTCTAAGTGTTCCCCTGTTTTAAAAATGTTTTCATCTGTTTTTAACCTAGTCAGGAGAATTAAGGACAAATGACTTCATTTTTAGTGTTAGCTGGCTAAGTCAGCCAGGTAGCCAACAATACTCAACTTAAAACAAATACATGCAAACAAACCAAACCCAACCTTCAGTTTCTATGGAGTACCAAAAGCACATGTCTGGGCTATGCTTGGGTAACTTGGTCTGCTGGCCAGTACCTAAGAAAGCAGGGCTGTCACTGTGGGAGGCGTTTGGTGGCACAAGGGGCCACGGGCAGTGGTGTCCCTCCAAGGACAGGTGCCACTGAGGATGGGCAGCTGCACGGTATGGTGGGGAGGTGGTTATCGAGGCTCCTCTCTTGTGGTGTGGGCACTAATGCTTGATGACATCTTCCTGAGTCAAAATCCTGACAAAATTCCTCTTCTGAGGATAAGATTCATGGCTTCCTCACACATGATCCAGGCCTGGACTCTGTTGTGGTTGGACGCGGGTTGTATCCAAGTCAGCTCCTGTGGCGCAGCTTTAGGCCTGCTGCTTTCCAGGTGCCTACACTGAGGGTGTTTCCACTTAAAGCAGAGTTAGCGGCATGGATTTTACTTTATTATTATTTTTTATAACATATATGTCAATCTAATTGGCAGAGGTTGCTTCTTTCATTTGTGGTGAGGCTGTCCAGAAGATGTAAATGGCTGATTTAACTTATGTGTCTCCCACTTCCATTGGGGTAAATGAGGAACAAAGTGGAGCCAAGGGCAACGCACTAACTGCTCTGAGTGTCTGAAAATTTCCAGCTCTTTCATTCGAACTTGCATAATTAAAGAAATTTCTTCCAAACTTTTCTTTATGTGCAAGGCAAAGATTCTGACACCCTTCCTCTATCCCCTCATATTCATCTTGAATGTTAATACTGAGTTAATCTTTTTTATACCAAGTAAAATGGAAGTGAAGTGCTCAAAATGGATTATAGAGATTATACTAGAAAAAGATTAAAAGATTATTTCCTTAACTTATTTTCTCAGTTAATCTGTAATATGTGATAATTCGTAGTCACCAATTCATGTATGTTAATTCCTCTTTTTTTTTTCTGCCAGAATATCAGATTATCAGCAGTTTCATCACAGAAATGAAAGTTTTATCTTGTGTGCCCTTTTTGAAGCTCTCACAGTAACAATAACTTTTCTGTGCTATCCATAATGAGTGGTGGTCCATGGTTATGCATTACTATTAGTGAACTTTACTGAACTCTTTGGAAAAAATCCTTAGTTTCCCTGTGCTTTGTTTTTCCCTGTGTAACATGTAGTGAGCTGTAGTGTTTTCCTACTGCTTGTTTGTATCCAAATGCCTCCCACATGTACAGAAAGAAGCCTGTAGTATTGCCCAAAATAAAAAGAAAGGCTGCATTGCTCCTTAGAGCATCCGGCAGAATGACAACATAGAGCAAATCTGTTTTCTTCTGTTTCAGAAAAATGCGACGAGCCTCTGGTCTCAGCGCTGCCCCACTCTTCCTTCAGCAGTTCATCGTCCAAGACGAGTAGCTACGTGCCAGGATATGCCAAGTTAAACAAAAGGGGAGGTAAGGGCTAGCTCTCTCTTCTGTTTTTGCTTTGAATATAAGAGCATATGTTGGGCAATATTTTTAAGATGAAAGTGCTTTTGATGTAAAATTCCAGTGCTAATGTTTGTTTTTAAGGAAGTTTCTGACAGATCATTTTTAAAATAAAATGCATTTCTTCAGAATATGGCAGTAATTGTGTGCTGTTGCGCTACTAAGAATCACACTGCTAAACATGTAGTAGCACAGGCCAAGTTTCTGCTATTAATGGAGTCCTACCAGATGATTGCTTGACTGACTACTTCAGTTAAAATGGCATACCTGTTTTCCTAGGGCAAAGGAACACTCGCGAAGTCATGCTCGTTGGAGCAAAATGAAACAGCCTTCATGTGCTTTGTTGATATAACTTGTTCCCCACCTTATTAATAACTGCTATCATCCAGCATTTCTAGCACCATAGGAAACTTACCCTTTGCATTTATTTTTTTTCTGTAAAGCAATGCCATATTGTACAGAAATAACCAAGCTAACTTGACACATGGTAACTGGAAGTGTAGGTGCATAAGTATGATGCTCCATCTGGTCTAATTATATCCTTAGAGCTATGCAAATTTATTCCAAGGTCTTGAATGCAAGTCTAAAACTTCACCCATAGGAATATTCATAGCTTGCCTTGCTATTTCTAGGTGCCTGTGCATATACCAAAATGGTATAGAACTCTAATTTCATAGGAATATGACACATTTACACATGAAGGTTTAGAGGAACAGAAAATTAGTATTCAGAATACTGTTTACTTTCCTCTATGTAATTGCAGTCTAAAAACCTTACTAAGATTTAACTAAGTTTCTTGGATAACTAGCTTGTGAATCATTGTTTCCCCAGAATGCGCATCATAAATATAATGAGCTGACACTGCAGCTAGAATTAAGGATTCTTCTGAGTTCAGAGAGAAAGTGAGACCAAGTCTTACAAGTCCCGAAGATCTATAATAGTGCCAAAACACCAGTATTGTAGATGGTTGGCTCAGTTGCACCGCTAGTCTAGTTTGCCAGCTCTTGCACGAATTATGTTGTTTCTACCTAGATGCCATTTTCTGTCTCTGCAGAAAATAAAAACTATTGAAACAAAGTAGGCAATCTCTTTTCTTCGGGGGTTTGCATACAAAATCTGAAATACCTTCAGCTAGTGAAATGCTCTTAAAGTTAAAAGTGGAATTTGTTTCATCCAAATTGTAGCCTGGGTTGCCCAGGTTCTCCTTTTTTTTTTATATATATATACAGCATGTGGAATTTGAGATGAAGAAAGTCACCTTATAAGCAAGCAGCGACTTTACTGTTAGCCTAGTGGAAATTTTAACAGTATAATTACAGAATGGTTATTCACCTAGAACCAATCATTACAAAAATACTATTTTTGTGAAGTCTCAATAGTACAACCATGCTTTTACACACGCTCCCTTAAGTCTATGCCTTTCCCTGGGTGTTATGCCCCGCTTTGCAGCAACTGAGCCCATGGCTACATTTGGGTTTGCGGGGGGCTATGGTGGATTGCCGGTGCACCAGGCTGCTTACTGGGAGGAGGATGTAGACCATCTTGATGGTGAAGGCAGTCTTTCCCTCTGATGGGGTGACTTGGTTGGAGTTGTGTGGGGTTTTCAGTTTTGGGGGGTTGCATGGTGTCTTTTTTATGCCTTTTTTCAACACCCGCCTTGCTTTTTCCAGGAAGGTTGGTCATGGTGACTTGCTGTGACCAGGCTGCATGGGCAATACTGGTGGCACCGACATTTGGTCAGTTATCTGCAGGTCACCAAATGTGAGGGGACCACTCAGGGCTGAGGTCACATAAGGAAGCCCAGCCAACCACTCAGGAAGAACAGGGGGACAGGACTTTGTGCAGGAAGGCCCATGGCAGGACTCCAGTAGCATCTGGGGCTGCCTTTGGGAGCTGAAATGGTGCTGTGCACCCATGGGAAGGGTATGGATCTGTAGGAGGCTAGTTGGGCCACAAAAGCCTTCATGCCCTCCAGCCCTGTCATTGATCTTTGTCTCCTGTTCTGCAACTCTGTATATCAGTTTTCCTGTACCACTATGTTCTACTTATGTAGCTACTTGGTTTTACTGTCTTTAGTTGAGCTACTCGAAATTTGGAATATCATTAGGAATTAGACCATGCAATCATTTAAAGCCAAGATAAAGCTCAGAAATTAGGCTGAGTTACCTGGTTCAGAGAAAAATCAGAAAAAAATGTGACCACCAAGGCTCAGTCTTGTGGCTTCATAATGGCCATGGCCTGTCCCTAGCATTGGCAATAGCTTGTCTCCTGGGAGGTAAGGCTGCAGCTTAATGGAAACTCTTCTGTGTTTGTCCTTATTTTGCTATATGCATTTTGGTCAAGTTGCAACATATCTGCACATGGATTTTGATGGGCCTTTTGGCTCCTTAATTTACATTTTTCGAAGTATTTATAGTCCAAGTAAAATAAGCTATTTATACTATTTATAAAGCAACATTCCATTCCTAAGACACTATGCATCATTTAAGGTTGAATTCTGCTCTATCAATTTGTCTTCATGTTCATTTACTTTCTATACCCTCTTGTAACATACAAAAGCTGCAATTGGACTACAATACAACTTCATACCAGGATTCTGCTCACCAACCTGGTAATGACTTCGCCATGAGCATTTCTCCATTATAGTTGACTAGATTTGTTGTGCTGTTGTAAATAAAAGGCAAATCAGACAT